AATGATTTTCAAAAAATCGTCGTTGTGGGGATTTTTTGAATTTTTGTCTGAATATTCGAAAAAAATATTTTGTAAAAAATCCACGTTATCTGAATATTCGCAATAAAAATATATATATCTTTTAAATCCATGTTGTCTGAATATTCGACAAAAATATTTTTTAAAAAATCCACGATGGCTGCAAATTTGAAAATAATATTTTTTTAAAAATCCACGGTGTCTGGAAATTCGAAAAAATACTTTTTTTAAAAAAACCACTTTGTCTGAATATTCGACAGAAATATTTTTTTAAAAATCCTCGCTGTCTGAATTATTTTAAACAAATCCACGATGTCTGAATTTTTTAAACAAATCCACGATGTCTGAAAATCCGAAAAAAAAATTTTAAATCCACGTTGTCTGAATATTGGAATTTTTTTTTTAAATCCACTTTGAATATTCGAAAAAAATATTTTTTTTTAAAAATCCACTTGTTTGAATATTCGAAAAAAAAAATATTTTTTTAAAAATCCAATTTTCCAAAAATCAATATTCAGACAACGAATATTGGGAAAAATATTTTTTTAATAAATTTCTGGAAATTTTAAAAAAATATTTTTTTAAAAAAATCAAAGTCGACTACATCAAAAAATATTTTTTAAAAATCCACTTTGTCTGAATATTCGAAAAAATATATATTTTTTTAAATCCATGTTGTCTGAATATTCTAAAAAAAAATATTCTTTTAATAATCAACGTTGTCTGAATAATTAAAAATATATATATATATATTTTTTTTTTTAAATCCACGCTGCCTGAATATTTAAAAAATATTTTGTTTTTACATCCACGTTGTTCGAATATTTAAAAATATATATATATTTTTTTTTTAAATCCACGCTGCCTGAATATTTAAAAAATATTTTGTTTTTACATCCACGTTGTCCAGATATTCAAACAAATATTTTGTTTTTAAATCCAAATATTTTTTTTTAAATCCGCTTTGTCTGAATTTTCGAAAAAATATATTTTTTTAAATCGATGCTGTCTGAATATTTAAAAAAAAAATTGTTTTAAATCCAAGTTGTCTGAATACTCGAAAAAAATATTGTTTAAAAATCCACGTTGTCTGAATATTGAAAAAAAAATATTTTTTAAAAATCCACTTTGTCTAAATTTTGGAAAAAAAATATATTTTTAAAAATCCACGTTGTCTGAATATTCAAAAAAAAAAAATATTTTTAAAAAAATACACGTTTTGTACGTATCTTTAAAAAAAATTTAGTCCGCGTCGTTTCTTTTCAATCCTTGGACCTGAGTGAGTCACTATTTTAGCATTTAAGAATATGCGACCCATGTATGTTTATGTGTGTGTGAGTGTCTGCATGTGTGCTCTTGCCATGCCCTGGGCCTTACTTTTTATGTCGGCCGTTATGGTTTGGTGGTTATGACAAAACGTGCCGGCTGGCTGCTCGGCTGGTTGGTTGATGGCAAATGTAATAAGATGACTCTTGATACGACTGCTGTGTTTCGTTCTCATAATGGTAGCTAACATTTTTTTATTAGCAAAGATTTCACAAAATCCTGTGATGCATGGAAGAGGCAACACAAAAAAAAAAAAAATACCCCAGCAGGTCGCTGAATGTCCTTGTAAGAATAGGCATAATGATCATTTGGATAATAATGATTGGAAATTGATGATGAGGCTTAAAAATGGATGATGATTACGTTACGTTGCCTTCTGTGGGCCGTCACTGGCTTTTTTTGTTTTCTTTTGGCAGCGTTTTTTTTGTTTCTACGTTAAGCCGTGAGTTAGTTTACTTTCGCAGCTAAACGGCGAGACATTTCTCATCCATCCATTCAAGCATCTCTCTCGCTCCATCCAGTTCATGCCTCATTCATTCAAGCATGCAAACTAGAAACAATGTCAATAAAGTAAGCTGCTTGAAGAACAAACCATTATCTACTCTTCCTTTTTCTGTTGCTATTTCGTTGTCGTTCGTACTTAGCTGTATGGAATTTTATGGTCTTAAAATGCGAAGTGTTTAGAAATTTTTGCAAAAATGCAAGGCCCAGAGATGTTTGTTTTCTTTTCTGAAAAACAGTATTTTTTTTAATGGAAACAAAAAGAATTGCAATATGTTACATACTTTAAGTCAAAACTCCCAATATGTAAATTGGGAAAATTAAAAAATACCTTAATCCCATGGCAGCTAATTTTTTATTCATCGGTCAATCTCACCATATTTAATTTACTTTTAATCATAAGCCTGATCCCATTTATTAGCACCACAGGCAGTTGATATTTTATTGATCTTCGTTTATTCTTAATTTACGTAATTATTGTGTATAAAATTATTGATTTATTTGCAAATTAATTCTTCCCATAATTGCAATCCATCATTCTAAACATTTTTTCCTGAGAGAGAAGAGATTAGTATAACTGACACTCTCTCACACAATCAACAGTAGATGAGAAGTAAATAACACTTTCCAGCCGTGCATATCAATCACTACGAATTGATAGGTTTCAGTGGTGTAAACTTTGCGATTTTTTAATTCTTGAAAAGTAAAAAATTAGGTAATACCTCAGCAATTTTATTCAAAAATTGTAGATAATTAGTTTTAATAGATTTTTATATGACATTCTTGCAACTTAAAGATTGTCGGCACTAATATTAGTCGTAGTAAATAAATACTGTGCCATAGATAAATAATTGTTGTTTACAAAATAGAAGAAAATTACGAAAAATTAGCAAATGTTAAAACTTTGTTGTATATCGAACCACATGGGTTAGAATTCTAAATGTGGTTTATATAGTGTTGCAACAATACCAAGCCACCCAAAAAAAAAAAAAAAAATTATTGGAAAAATTTGTAAATGAAAATTGAATCATATCGAAATAATTCAAGTTGTGTATGAGTACTGCGTGCTACAAAAATAAGTTTTAAATCGCAAAAAAAAATATGTAAGTCTCATAGATTTCCAACACAAAAAGATACGTTTAACTACAAAAAAAAAAAAAAAAAAATAATAAAATAATGATTTTAAATAAAAAATGTTCTAATAAACATTTTTTAGATTTATATTCTTTAAATTTGTACTTTGAGCTTAGCAAGAAAATGTTAAAAATGGTGTCAGAAATGTACACATTTAAATAACATTGATATGACATGTTATTATCAAAAATAATAATAAATCCATTGGGAGCCTGTATCCGATGAATTTAAATTATTATTTTTTATTATATTATAATTTACCTTGAATTAATTGTCCATGGCGCGATGTGCAATTTTTCAATTGTTTCATTTAAATGAAGAATTTTTATAGTTTTTTGTTATAGAAATCTGTAAGAATTTTAAATCCAAAAATGTAACAATATGTGATTTTTGTTTATAGGAGATCATATTAAAATATATTATTTAAAACTTCCCATCTACGCCGCTCTCTCCCTCTCACACACATATTAGGCCAATTGGGATGTCATTTCTATGTCATAGGAACATAATAAAGTCTATTTAATAATATACTTTTAATTATCAATCGTTTGGCATCTCTGATTTGACAAATTTGGTTACATGTGGGTTTTAAATTTTGTTCTTTAAAAATCATATTCCAAAGAAACTATTTGAAACATTCCATCTCTGCCAAAACAAACAGGTGATTTTCCTTTGCTGAGAGAGACATAGAGAGAGACTTTCAAAACAAATAGTGACCAAACATGTAGACAATTTTTTTAAATAACGATGAAACAAAATATGCTTTACGCTTTCATAAACTACACGCGTTCCCACACAACAACTATTAATGTGTCATAGAAATGTTCTATTACCATCTTTTTGCATTTCAAGTACAAATGCCCTCCTTACATGCATTTGTCATACCCATGAGAGAGAGAGTGATGCTCTCTTGCAATGAATTGTAGAGGCTATCCCGCCAAAATTGATAAATATTGGCCAATTTCTTAAATAATAAGTATTTTCTTTATATTATGCACAATTGCAATGTTAAGAGTAAAAAAAATCTCTAAAAATATCAATGCCATGTGTAATAGAATTTTCTTTTATATTTCATTTTTTATGCCACACATTTCTCTCTGAGGTTGACAGCAATTCCTCAGAGAGAAATGTGTGGCATAATAAACAAATGATGGCTAAAAGTAATAATAATAATTCTACTTTTATTAGCATTCTTGCACTCTTTAAAATTATTTTAAGCCATTCCCCAGCTAAATTTCTTATGATTTAAAATCTCCCTTGGTATTTGCCTTCTCTTGGTGGCTCCCCTTGATGGTAGTACGTCAAACTGACTATTCGATTTCGATTGCGGACAACCAATAGTTCTTATTAGACCAATCATCATGTTATTCTTTCATTTTGCTTCGAGTAAATGCAAAGATTTTTTGTTAAACCATTATCCTCTTGCTTTTCTTCTTCTTGCACATTTCCAAGCAACAGCTTAGCTCTCTAAAAGGAAAACAATAACCAACTCCATTGTTAGTTCTGTTGTATGCAATGCTATGTTGTTGCCTATAACACCTCATTCGTTTTCATACACTTTCGATGAAGCTGTCTGTCATTGTCGCCGTCGCTGCTGCCGTGTCATTTGTCTGGCTGGTCAAGTTGTTCTATTCTAAATTGCAGTTCTTCCTTCGTCGCCAAGGAACACACTCGGACACACATACCGAGTAATTCAAATGTTCCAGCAGCAACAAACATTGTTGCTGTTGGTTTTTTGTTTTTATTTTTTTTTTTCATACATACACTGTTGGCAAAGCGTCTTCTATCTCTGCTTTTTCGTAGCTCCCTTAATGGTGTGATTTTGAGGGGAGAATGGGGTGTGGGGCAAGCAAACTACCAATACTTTGCCAAATGCCAGCAATCGTCGTTTTGCTCGTTCATAAACACAACGGCAAACGCCATCACATGTGTTGTCAAATGGCAAGGGGGAGCCAAGTTCTTTCAGAGTGAGAGAGTGACAGAGAGCAGAGGTAAAGGAGAGATGAGCATTCAAATCAATGCTGCTGCTCCCCCAACAAAACAAAAACAAAAAAGTAAAGAACGCGGGGAGTTAAATGTGCATTGCTTTGATTTTATTTTTCTGGACTTCAGCTCGCTGCGCTTAACATAACGGTTGAACAAGTTGTAGGAGTTTCAAGTGAAGTTAACAACGAGTGGTACACTTTGGTTCTACTGTCAAATGATTTGTAAATTATTTGAACGTAAAGCGAAGAAAACAAAGCAGCTAATTGATTTGCTAAAAAATTTTCAACATTTTTAAAGATTTCCATTGCTTGATTGACTTGCCTTAAATGGCTCCCAAAAAATCCACAATAGTCTTAAACGTTGAACAGTTCATAAGGGACGTGGAACAGCGTCCGGCAATATGGAATCGGAATTTCCATTGTAACAAGGCTTTTCTTGAGCAAATGTGGGATGAGCTATCCTCGGAACATAAATTGCCAAGTAAGTAGCATAGAAATTGCAAAAACCAAAAGAGGGCAATTTTTGAAATTTTTTGGGGTGATTTCCTTTCCAGAGGTGGTGCTAAAGGCCAAATGGAAGGGTCTGCGTGACAATTTCCGTGTGGAATACAAACGCATACCCCGGGCCGATAATGGTGATTTTTTGGTAGAACCAGCCACCTTTGAGTCCAAATGGATCCATTACTATGCCTTGTTGTTTTTGAGTAAGTAACCCCTCACATGCCGCACTTAGTTATTCTAATTACCCTAATACCGTTTATCTGCAGCCGAACACATGCGCCACCGGGTCCCCAAAAATGAACAGGATCAAGCCTTCTTTTTTGCCCAGCAGAGTCAGGATTGTGAGAAGACCGTGGTTGAGCCAGATCTCACAAATGGTCTAATACGACGCCTGCAGGACAGCGATGAAGAGTTCGATGAAGATGATGTTGACGAGGACGATGATGAGGTTACCGAAACCACACCCCCAGCGGCCCATTCCCAACCTCTGACCTCAGTGGTGAATGGTGTACCGGGAGCCATAATTAAACTTGAGGATAATAGGAAAAATTTTGATAAAGAGGTGCAAGATTTGTCCAAGAAATCATTGGACAGTGCTGCAGCAAATTTGACGCAGGCGTCAACAGCATCACCGGTAGCAACACTACAGCCTCAGCAGCAGCAACAGGCCACAACAATATCTTCAACAACGGCCGTTAGCCCCTTGGCCTTGGGCTTGACAGCAGCTGCAAGTGCAACAGCAACACCCGTGCCAGTAGCATCCTCATCACCCTTATACTTACAAACGGTACCAGTTACCTCCTCCAGCTCACTGGCCCCGGCTCCAGTTGCCCCGGCAGCAGCCTCATCATCCTCACTCTCCTCCTGTTCGGTATCCTCTGTTTCAAGTACAACCTCCAATTCACCACCCTCATCTACAGCATCGGCCACAGCAGCAGCCCCCTTGACAGCTTTAAATTTATTTCAAGCCACCCCACCAATGGCCCATAACACAGCCTTTGCTGTGGCTGCCACCTTGGCCTCTATGAATGGTGGTGGTGGTGGTGGGATATCTGGCAACAATTCCCTGCCCTCGGTATTGCCATTATCCCTTACCACAAATCTGCCCAGTGCATTGGTGTTACCCAATACCTGTTTGCCAAATGGCAGTGGTGGTGTTCCCCCCAGTGGTGGACAACAGAAAATTCGTTCAGTTTCACCGCCACCGCTGTACAACAAGGCCCATCATCCGCCGCCCAGTAGCAATAACAACGGCAACAACATCTCATCGGCCATGAGTAAAGATCGTTCCGACGATTTCCCCCTCAATGTGGCCAGTTGTCTACATGGCAGCCATGAAAATTTGAATTTTACCAAATATTCCTATACCAATGGTTTGATATCGGCTTTGAAACTCAAACGACCACGCCTCTCAGAGGATAGTAATTTCAATGGTTCCTCATCAATGGATACATCAAATGCGGCCACGCCCACACCCTTGGTGCCCGAGGATGATGATTATCACTATTTGTTGTCGCTGCATCCATATATGAAACAGCTGACGGCAGCCCAGAAGCTAAGGATTCGAACAAAAATACAAAAATTGATTTTCAAAGAACTCTACAAAGAGGATTTGGAGGAATCGAAATAAGGGGGGTAGAGAGAGAGAGGTTTTGTGGAAGATGAAAAAAAAAACAATTAAACCAAAGTCATTACTTTTTAGATTTTCTAATGCAATGAATGTGAAGGACCTTATCTCTCAAATCTCTGTGTATGTGCCAAAACATATCTAGCCTTAAATTGTATTTCCTCTCACACACACTTGAATCCTTTAATAATTAAGATACCTTTCATTGTATACATATTTAAAAAAAAACAGTTCCTCCTTTTGGCAGGAAATTTGGAAGAAAAAAAAATATTGTGAAAACTTTCCAACAATTCCTGGAAAACAAAACAAATTATGCTTTAAATCATTTACTGAATTTTCTACTTTATTTTTTTTGTTTTTAGTTTATAATTATTATTAATTACATTGTACTTCTCAGAATATCAGCATTTATTTTCTTATTTTGTAAATATATATATTTTTTTTTGTTAAATGGCCATAGTTTAGATATTAATATACGCAATTATGTTGAGTAGACCTTTTCGGGTTTTAATATTTCTCTTTGAGAAAAATTAATAAACCCTTGCGAAACCTACCAAACAAAGCATTTATAATATTTAACAAAAAACACACAGAAATCTTTACATATATGTATCTCAAATTTAGTTTATAAATGTATTTCCGTATATATAAGAATTCTATTTAAAAAAATAAATTACAAAGAAGAATTTAACTAAAAATAAATCTTGAAACAAACCACAATTATATTTATATGAATTTATGTTGGAAAAAACCCCAAAACCATAAATTATGGATATTCATTTGAAATGCCAACAACAGGGAGTCTTCTCTCCCTTTTCATTCTTTTTTATGCCCTCCACCATACATAGAATGGAGGGTATATTAAGTTCGTCATTCCGTTTGTAAGTCATTGAAATAATAATTTGTTGACTCAACAAAGTACAGGATGAGATAAAAAAAGCTGCAACAAAGTCAAACGCCATAATTTTTACATTTTTTTATACCCTCCACCATGGAAACTGTGTAACATCCCTACATATTCGTAGTAGACACCATAAAGTATACATATACTTAATATTCAGCATAAGATTCTAAGTCGATTTAACGATATCCGTCTGTCTGTTGAAATCTCAATACAACCCGCGTTATTTGACGTAGAGTGTCAACATTTAGCAGAACGGTTTGTATTGTGTCTAGGACGGTTGGTATTGAAAATGAGATATATCGGTCCAGGTTTTGGTATAGTCTTCATATAACAGTACCTCCCGATATTCGGTATTTTGATGATTTTTTCATGGATTTGTCTGAAAATTGTTATGTGTAGGTCATAATGGATTCTAGCTCAGGTGGGGAAATATTGTATGTATAGGCCACGTTTTGGTATAGCCCCCATATAACGGAATCTCCCGATATTCGGTAATTTGCTGATTTTAGCGACATTATTTTTGTTTTTGTTATTTTGATGATGTTACCGACATTATTTACCGGAACTATTTCAAATTTGGTGTTTGAAGTTCGTAATGATTACTACATCCTATGACAGAAAATTGTCTGTGCAGGTCCACTTCTTCGTATAGCCCCCATATAACGGTACCTCCCTATATTCGGTATTTTGATGATTTAGCGACATTATTTACCGGAATGGTTTCAAAATTGGTATTTGAAGTTCGTAATGGATACTACAACCTATGACAGAAATTGTCTATGCAGGTCCACGCCTTCGTATATCCCCCATATAGCGGTACCTACCGATATTCGGTATTTTGTTGATTTTAGCGACATTATTTACCGGAACTATTTCAAATTTGGTATTTGAAGTTCGTAATGGATACTACAACCTACGAAGGAAAATTGTCTGTGCAGGTCCATCATTTGGTATAGCCCCCATACAATGGTACCCCCCTTTATTCCGTATTTTGATGATATAAGCGACATTATTTACCCGAATTATTTCGTATTTGAAGTTCGTAATTGATACTACAGCCTATAACAAAAAATACTTATCCAGCACCATCGTATAGGCCCCATGTAAAGGTTTTCATTTGGGCGGTATTTTTCGAAGGACTTTTTTTTGAAATCTTTCAAAAAATGTTCTTTCTTGGGTAATATGAGTTGCATTTTGTAGTGTATTATAAAAAATGTTTTTTTCTTACCTCATAGAATTCGAAAATGTAAGGGTTTAGATTGCTTTTTGAGTAAACAAATCTAATTTGAAGTTATGTTTACAATTTGAGGTTATAATTACAATCCTTTACTTGAACTGTATTTGTCTACAAGGGACTCATGTCAAAATATGGGAGTATGAATTAAGATGATTTATATCTTGTAAATGTTTAACCTATTATTTCAAGTTTTCATGGAGGGCCCAAAAAAGAATAATTTTAGAATAATCAAAGAGCAGAGCTTGCGCTTTGTCGGCTGTGATGATACCAAGCAACGTATGGTAGTTATTGAGCTATGGAATCATCCTTATTATGTGGGTACCCAATATAATCCACCCATCATCAAACCCCTACCACCATTTTTGGTGGAGGACCCAAAAAAGAATAATTTCGTATTTTTTTTTTGCAAAAAAATCGTTTATTTTGGCGTTATGTTTATATGGGAGTCATCATCAAAATATGAAATTATGTATTTAGATGGCTTAGATTATGTAAATGCTTCGCACATAGTTTAAGCTTTTAATCAGTCAATCAATTCCAAAAAGTAAACATTTTGTTGCTTTGGAGAAGTGTTTTTCATTTTTGAGGTTATGTTTACAAGGGGGATATATGGCAAAAGATGGAATTATTTTAATGCTTTATATTTCTATAGCTTGCAAATACCTTCAAAACCTACCAAAATTAAACAATTTGTTGCTATCCAAAAATTGTTCATTTTTGAGGTTATGTCTGCAAAGAAGAAATGGCTAGAAATGGAATTATAATTTTTTTTATTAAAAAAAATATATTCTCACAGTTTCTGCTACCACGAAGAATCAACGAAAATTGAACATTTTAAGCAAATGAAAAAAATGAGGTTCATTTGACAAGGAACTGAAAGTATGTCACCACAGACATTTGTCAATTCATTTCAATTCTCTCAATTAAATCGTATACTAATATTTCTCTTTTTCTCCCCACAATTCTCTCTCTTTCTCCCACCCACTTTTATTTTCCAGGTGAAGTTTATGTCTTGGACGATGGCGGTGAAGTCGATTTGGATTTGGGCAACTATGAACGTTTTTTGGATGTCACATTGCATCGTGACAATAACATTACCACGGGTAAAATTTATCAACTGGTTATTGAAAAGGAACGCAAGGGAGAATATCTGGGCAAGACCGTGCAGGGTAAGGGGGAAATATCTAACATTTCTTTTTGACAAATTTACTCAAATTTTTTTTTTTTTTTTTTGTTTGCATCCAACAGTTGTCCCCCACATCACGGATGCCATACAGGAATGGGTGGAACGTGTGGCCGAGACACCCGTACGCGGTGAGTCCAAACCCCAGGTTTGTATCATTGAACTGGGTGGCACCATCGGTGACATTGAGGGTATGCCTTTCGTTGAGGCCTTTCGTCAATTTCAATTTCGTGTGAAACGTGAAAATTTCTGCTGTGCCCATGTCTCGTTGGTACCCTCACCCTCGTCGACGGGTGAACCCAAAACCAAACCCACCCAGAGTTCGGTGCGTGAGCTAAGAGGTTTTGGCCTGAGTCCTGATCTGATTGTCTGTCGTTCCGAGAAACCCATTGGTTCGGAGGTGAAGGAGAAAATTTCGAATTTCTGTCATGTGGCACCGGATCAGGTCATCTGTATACATGATTTGAGCTCAATATATCATGTCCCGTTGTTGATGGAACAAAATGGCGTCATTGAATTCCTCAACGAACGTTTGCAGTTGAATATCCAACCCAGCAAAAGGGAGAAGTGAGTGGCATCTTTGCTTATTTTTTTTGGAGGTTGTGTTTTTAATTGGAATTTTGGTCTTTTTAGGTGTCTGCAGAAATGGAAGGACTTGGCCCGTCGCTCGGAAACCCTACGCAAAACCGTCAACATTGCCTTGGTGGGTAAATACACCAAATTCAAGGATTCCTATGCCTCGGTGATCAAGGCCCTGCAACATGCCGCCCTGGCTGTGGGCTATAATCTCAATCTGAACTTTATCGATTCCAGTCTCTTAGAAAACGAAACCCTGCAGGATGCCCCCTCCAAATACCACAAAGAATGGCAGCTGTTGTGTGAAAGTGATGGTGTCTTGGTACCTGGTGGCTTCGGTTCCCGCGGCATAGAGGGCAAAATCAAGGCCTGCAAATGGTGTCGTGAAAATCGCAAACCCTTTTTGGGTATTTGCCTGGGTCTGCAGGCGGCTGTTATAGAATTCGCCCGCAATGTTTTGGGCCTGGAAGATGCCAACACCACAGAAATTAATCCCAAAACGGCAAATCCCTTGGTCATTGACATGCCTGAGCATCATACCGGTCAAATGGGCGGCACCATGCGTTTGGGTAAACGCACCACCATCTTCTCCGAAGAGCCCAGCATTATTAAACAGTTGTACGGTAATCCCAAAACTGTTGATGAACGTCACCGGCATCGTTATGAGGTGAATCCCAAATATGTACCCCAACTGGAAGAGCAGGGCTTGCGCTTTGTGGGATGTGATGATACCAAGCAACGTATGGAAGTTATTGAGCTAAGGAATCATCCCTATTATGTGGGCACCCAATATCATCCGGAATATTTGTCACGCCCCCTGAAACCCTCACCACCATTTTTGGGTTTGATATTGGCCTCAGTGGGACGTCTGCCAAACTATATTGCCCGTGGCTGTCGGCTATCGCCACGCCAACAATCAGATGCCTCTTCGGATGAGGATGATTTGCAGATAACGGCAAAAATCAACAATCTTAAATTAAATGGTGGCAGTACATTTTTGACACCCAACGGCCTATGTCGGGCGGGAGGAGAATTATTTTTAAATGGCACATCATCTGTGGAGGCTTCGGACACAGAATCGGGTAGCAAACCACTCAATGGTGGTGGTGTTTAAACTGGTGTGGGGAGGAAGAACTGTTGTAACACCAACACATAGACACACAAATTGCTGCTGGATAAATGTTAGTTTTTAGGGTTAAGAAGATATCAAATAATAAAAAAAAGATGACAGTCCAGTGGTACTGAACTTTAATACCTTCCACATAAGACTGGATAGGGTATTAAGGATACTCGTTTTGAATACAAAAAAAAAATATTTAAAAAAACAACTAAAAAGTCAAAGGCTCTTGCTTAGTTTGTAAGTTAAATAGATAACCCACACACACAATGTATGGTTTAAAACTGAAGGAATTTTCCGCGTTGTTTATTTTGTATGAAAATATTTACCGCATCCATCCACCCACCCATGCGCGCTGTGTGGGCGATGGTGGTGGCGGCGTGAATAATTGTGATTTTGGCAAAACAAGCACTAGTTAAAACTATACTACAAATATTTCCAATATTTTTCAAACTTCCTCTCCCCCCTCTCTCTCAAATACAAAAAAAAAAAAAACAAGACAAGTTTAAAGTAATTTATGCTTATACAAAGAATTTTGAAAATATATACATAACCTTAACAAAAACAATTCATAATTTTTATTATGAAACCAATTAATAAATATTCGGAAATTTTACTTCTTTAAATTAAAAAATATTAAAAAGAAAAACAATATGAAAATAAAATGTAAAAATTAAACAAAAATATTTTTTCTGTTTTATTTTGAACCAGACCATTTTAAACTAAACGCTCATATCTCCTTAAATATTGACATTTCGGGGTTTTTAGCATATTATTTCATTGAGATATTTAAAGAGGAAAAATAGGGTATTTTAAAACGCTCATAACTCCTTAAATATTGACATTTCGGGGTTTTTAGCATATTATTTCATTGAGATATCGAAGGAGGAAAAATAGGGTATTTAAAACGCTCATAACTCCTTAAATATTGACATTTCGGGGTTTTTAGCATATTATTTCATTGAGATATCGAAAGAGGAAAAATAGGGTATTTTAAAACGCTCATAACTCCTTAAATATTGACATTTCGGGGTTTTTATCATATTATTTCATTGAGATATTTAAAGAGGAAAAATAGGATATTTTAAAACGCTCATAACTCCTTAAATATTGACATTTCGGGGTTTTTAGCATATTATTTCATTGAGATATTTAGAGAGGAAAAATAGGGTACTTTAAAACGCTCATAACTCCTTAAATATTGACATTTCGGGGTTTTTAGCATATTATTTCATTGAGATATCGAAAGAGGAAAAATAGGGTATTTTAAAACGCTCATAACTCCTTAAATATTGACATTTCGGGGTTTTTAGCATATTATTTTAATGAGATATTTAAAGAGGAAAAATAGGGTATTTTAAAACGCTCATAACTCCTTAAATATTGACATTTCGGGGTTTTTAGCATATTATTTCATTGAGATATCAAAAGAGGAAAAATAGGTTATTTTAAAACGCTCATAACTCCTTAAATATTGACATTTCGGGGTTTTTAGCATATTATTTCATTGAGATATTTAGAGAGGAAAAATAGGGTACTTTAAAACGCTCATAACTCCTTAAATATTGACATTTCGGGGTTTTTAGCATATTATTTCATTGAGATATCGAAAGAGGAAAAATAGGGTATTTTAAAACGCTCATAACTCCTTAAATATTGACATTTCGGGGTTTTTAGCATATTATTTTAATGAGATATTTAAAGAGGAAAAATAGGGTATTTTAAAACGCTCATAACTCCTTAAATATTGACATTTCGGGGTTTTTAGCATATTATTTCATTGCAATTATTAAAGAGGAAAAATAGAGTATTTTAAAACGCTCATAACTCCTTAAATATTGACATTTCGGGGTTTTTAGCATATTAATTTAATGAGATATTTAAAGAGGAAAAATGGGGTATTTTAAAACGCTCATAACTCCTTAAATATTGACATTTCGGGGTTTTTAGCATATTATTTCATTGAGATATTTAAAGAGGAAAAATAAGGTATTTTAAAACGCTCATAACTCCTTAAATATTGACATTTCGGGGTTTTTAGCATATTATTTCATTGAGATATTGAAGGAGGAAAAATAGGGTATTTTAAAACGCTCATAACTCCTTAAATATTGACATTTCGGGGTTTTTAGCATATTATTTCATTGAGATATTTAAAGAGGAAAAATAGGGTATTTTAAAAAGCTCATAACTCCTTAAATATTGACATTTCGGGGTTTTTAGCATATTATTTCATTGAGATATTTAAAGAGGAAAAATAGGGTATTTTAAAAAGCTCATAACTCCTTAAATATTGACATTTCGGGGTTTTTAGCATATTATTTCATTGAGATATTGAAGGAGGAAAAATAGGGTATTTTAAAACGCTCATAACTCCTTAAATATTGACATTTCGGGGTTTTTAGCATATTAATTTAATGAGATATTTAAAGAGGAAAAATAGGGTATTTTAAAACGCTCATAACTCCTTAAATATTGACATTTCGGGGTTTTATAGCATATTATTTTAATGAGATATTTAAGAGGAAAAATAGGGTATTTTAAAACGCTCATAACTCCTTAAATATTGACATTTCGGGGTTTTTAGCATATTATCTCATTGAGATATTTAAAGAGGAAAAATAGGGTATTTTAAAACGCTCATAACTCCTTAAATATTGACATTTCGGGGTTTTTAGCATATTATTTCATTGAGATATTTTAAGAGGAAAAATAGGGTATTTTAAAACGCTCATAACTCCTTAAATATTAATATTTCGAGGTTTTTGGCATATTATTTCATTGAAATATTTAAAGAGGAAAAATAGGTATTTTAAAATGCTCATAACTCCTTAAATTTTGACATTTCGGAGGAAAAATAGGGCATTTTAAAACGCTCATAACTCCTTAAATATTTACATATCGGGATTTTTAGCATGTATTTTCATTCGGATATTGAAGGAGGAAAAATAGGGTATTTTAAAACGCTCATAACTCCTTAAATATTGACATTTCGGGGTTTTTGTATCACTAAAATCATGCTTTTATTATTTGCTTTTAAAATATGGCATATGAATATATTTTATATAATTATTTTTATATTTTATAACCACTTTTAGGTAAACCTTAACCTTACCCCATTAAAAACTAATATTATTCTTTTAATAAAATATTTTTTTAATAGTTTATTTATGTATCGCCATTACTTAATACTCCTCAAGTATTTATTTATCATTTATTCACAATTTATTACTTTATTTGGCGGCATCTATGCGGGCAATTATGTCACTACAGTCATACTCTCACTTGGTAACATAATGGCAACACCAACAGCAAGGAACACATTTCGATCTAAGGAACACTAACATTGTTAGGCTTTTTTGTTGTGATTCCACATCTTTATTTAATTTTTCTTTGTCGCCTTTCGCTCCAGAGTTGCCATATCACATTGTCGTTCAGATTTTGTTGGCCTTTCTGTTTTGGTTCCACATCTTTATTCCGTTTTCTGTTTGTGTCGCCTTTCGTCCTAGAGTTCATTTTCGATCTATAGAACACTAAGAAATTCTTGGAAACGTTCGTTTGGTAAATTGTTAATTAAAATTAATATTTTAGGCATAAATCATATAAAATTTATAATAAAAATTATGAAAATGTGTAGAAGAAACGTGTATGTGTGATTGTGCATGCTCAAAAATATCAATAACACGATAAAACATGAAAAAAGAACTTGAACATGAACTTAACCTCTAATTTGTGGCGCCTTTGGTGTGTTATGTCTGTGTAACAATAAAACAATTAAAAGAATTAAAAATATTTGATTAAAAACCTCAATAAAAATTTAATGAAAAAGCGCAACTGCTATTCTATGCTTCGGGCTATTCGAACTTAAGTACTAGATAAAAGCCTTCTAAAAGTATGAGGAGTGTTTAGGGTCTTCTGTAGTCGATAGGCCCTAAAGACTCTACATAAAAATAAGAACATTACACAAAATAAAATATCCTACAAAAGCTTTCCATGAGATAAATGGACCTCCCGGGGCCTAAGCTGATTATATGTGGGTGGAAACACATTTTTCGGCTTAGCTCTAGTTTTCTAAAAGTTCTTGATCAATAATTTTTTTATATAACTCCCGAACCATTTTAAATAACCCCCTCATATGACCATATGTTGTGGATTGGTGAAGCAAGCTTTCAAATAATATTTTGGGTCAAATGCCCGGGTCCATCCCCCAAATACCAAATACTACATATGGAAAAGTTTTATATCAAAAAAAACTGATAGTTTTTACTAAACTACAGTTGAATAGAACAAAAAATACAACAAATCGGGGAACTTCCCCAAACCCGAATGCCTTTTGGACATATGTTCTGTTACAGTACCTGCAAGAATCTACTAGTTTTGCAATTTTCATCGATAAAATAAAGGAAAAGTCGGTTAGCGTAGTTAAAATTTTTATATTCTTGCAGTTCTGGAGCAGAACATATAAGAATATGTATTAAAAAAACGTACTTAAATATTATATATTGATTATATATTTTAAAATACAAATTAATTATATACATTCTTTTTGTTCAGATACACCCTGAAATTGGATCCAGAAAATTTCTCCCTTTGACAGAGTTATTTATAAAAATAACTTTTTAAATTATTTCTTTGAAGGAAGACATAAATTCAAATAAAGACAAATGAATTGCAACAAAATTATGCGAAGTTTAACATGGCTAAGGGCAAAGAGCTTGAGACTAAATTTGAGAAGTCTTTCGACCCAGACGACGATGAAATCTATGGATTCAACACCCACCATGGAAGAGGAAAAGGAGGTATGAATGTGATTTTATATGTAGAAATAATATAATTCAAATATTTCCCTATTTTCAGAATCTAAAATACCCCAGAAAGATCTTTTCCGGCATACAACCCACCGGTCAGCTGCATTTAGGTAATTATTTGGGTGCCGTGCAGAAATGGACACAGCTGCAGAACAGTGGTGATGATGTTACCTATTGCATAGTTGATATGCATTCCATAACAATACCACAGGTTTGTAAATAATAAAATATCCGATGACCGTTTAAAAAAATCCATTTGTTTTCAGAATCCTGCCGTTTTGCGTGAAAACATTTTCGAAATGGCTGCCACAATGCTGGCCTGTGGCTTGGATCCCCAGAAATCTACAATATTTGTACAGTCATCGGTACAGGAGCACACGGAGCTGGGTTGGATTTTAAGCTGCCTATGTACCATGCCACGTCTGGGTCATTTGCCACAATACAAAGAGAAATCACGCACGGTCAAAGATGTACCATTGGGTCTTTACGTATATCCAGTATTGCAGGCTGCCGATATTATGTTATACAAGTAAGAATCGAACAAATCTCGTTTTGCTTTCAATGGGGAACTTTCAAAAAATTCTAGAGCTCCGCAAATATTATTTTTTATACCCTCCACCATGATCAGCATAAAAATCTATGTCGATTTAGCGATGTCTGTCCGTCTGTCCGTCTATGGAAATCACTCTAGCTTCCAATCGAAAGAAAGTATGATGATAACATTTTACTCAAATGTATATTATGTCTGCAGGACATTTGGTATTGAAAATGGGCCATGTAGGTCCAAGTCTTCGTATAGCCCTCATTTAAAGGTACCTACCGATATTCGTTATTTTGATGATTTTAGCGACACTATTCACCGGAAATGTTTCAAATTTGGCATTTGAAGTTCGTAATGGAAACTACAGCCTATGACAGAAAATTGTCCTTGCAGGTCCACGCCTTCGTATAGCTCCCATATAACGGCAGCTCCCGACATTCGGTATTTGGTTATTTTAGCGACATTATTCACCGGAAATGTTTCAAATTTGCCATTTGAAGTTCGTAATGGAAACTACAGCCTATGACAGAAATTTGTTTGTACAGGTCCACGCCTTCGTATAGCCCCCATTTAACGGCACCTCCCGATATTCAGTCTTTTGAAGATTTTAGCCACATTATTTACCGGAATTGTTTTAAATTTGGTATTTGAAGTTCGTAATGGATACTACAGCCTAGGACAGAAAATTATCTGTGCAGGTCCACGTCTTCGTATAGCCCCCATATAACGATACCTCCCAATATTCGGTATTTTGATGATTTTAGCGACACTATTCACCGGAATTGTTTCAAATTTGGTATTTGAGGTTCGTAAGGGATATTACAGCCTATGACAGAAAATTGTCCATGCAGGTCAATGCCTTCGTATAGCCCACATATAACGGTACCTCCCAATATTCTGTATTTTGATAACCTTTGTAGGTCTCAATTTTTTCTAATAGAAAAAAAGTTCGAAAAATGTAGGTTGTATTTTTTTCCGGTAGAAATGAGTCGAGTCCTCTGTAGGTCTTCGTTTTTTCCGAAGAAAAAAATTCTAGATCTCCGCAGGTCACTGTTTTCTCAACAGAAAATATTCGAGATCTTTGTAAGTCTTAGAAAAAATGTAATCCTCTGAATATTTCAGTTTTTTTTTCCCAAAAGAAACAATTTAAGGCCCCTGTAGGACTAAGTTTTTTACTATAGGAAAAATACAAGACCTCTGAGGGTCTTAGTTATTCCTGAAGAAAAAAATCGAGATCTAGTACATCTCAGTTTTGTTTTTTTTTTTTTCAATAAAAACCTTCAAGATCTCCGCACTTGTTCATTTTCTCAACAGAAAAAAATCGGTTACCTCCGCAAGTCCTAGAAAAAAATGAGAAATACGAAGCCCTCGTTTATTTTGAAGAAATTAAATAGTTTTTTTCCTTCATCTATTTTTTTTTCTTTTTTCGTTCCAGAGCCACTCATGTCCCTGTCGGTGAGGACCAATTGCAACACATCCAGTTGACACAACATTTGTCGCGCATTTTCAACACCAAATTCGGCCAAACCTTCCCCATATGCCATGCCATGATTGACAATCATGATGCGGCGCGCATACGTTCTCTACGCAATCCGGCCAAGAAAATGTCCAAATCTGATCTGGATACCAAGGCCACAATAAATATACGCGATGCACCCGAAGTCATTGTGGAAAAAATCAAAAAAGCTGTTACCGATTTCACCTCTGATGTTACCTATGAACCTGAGGCACGGCCTGGTGTTTCAAATTTAGTTGTAATTCATTCGATGGTCAGTGGAACGCCCATAGAGAAGGTCGTGGAAGAAGCCAGAGCCATTGATACAGGCCGCTATAAGTTACGTGTTGCTGAGGCTGTTGTGGAGCATCTGAAACCCATTCGCTTGGCCATTGATGAGCATTTAGCGCAGAAAAATGATTTGATTCATTTGCTTGAATCGGGAGCGGAAAGGGCACGGCAAGTTGCCCAACAGAATATTGTGGAGGTTAAAGAGAAAATGGGTTTGGGCATTTATCGCAATGTGCCACAGTACATTGATATGTCTGCAGAGTTATTAAATGCCTTGCCGAAGGACAAGAAAAAGCCAAAGGCCAGCGACAAGGAAACGGAAACACCAATCGTGCCCAAACAAAAGCTGCGAGTGGAGAAAAAATCAGCTCCACAAAATTTGGCCCCCACTTTCAAGTTGGACGAATCGCTGGCATCACCCCCCTCTCCTTCCGTGGCAAAGAAGGCACAATAGATTTAAGTAAATTAATTAGTCAATGGAAGTCTGGACTCCCACCCCGCAAATATGCCTAGTCTTTAAATAAATTAAATAAAACAATTCACAATTTACGATGCTTTAGATATTTTATTTTGAAATTTTTTGCTGCAGACCAATCTATTTGTTGCCGATGTCACATTTGACCATATTTCGGAAGTTGCAAACCATCTTGGTCTCATCGAAGTAGAGATTAGCGGGACAGTTAAATTCTACACTTCTTCCGTCGAGGCAGGCGTGGAATTTGCCACAGTCATTGGGATCACGTACCAAAGATCCATGGGCCTGTCCCACGCAGATTGGATGCTGGTTTCGTCGGGAGGTTATTTTACCAGATCTGGCCCTTAAAGTGGAAGAAACCTTTTTTCGATTTTGTTTACTCTGAGGACAGGGTGTTGTGGTCTGGTGACAGGGAGTTGTAGTTCTAGGATGACATGGAGTTGTTGTTGTAGTCACTGGGGGCTCAGGATGGCATGGAGTTGTGGTGGTGGAAGATGGTGGTTCAGAATTTTGGGGAGTTGTTGTAGTCGAGGATGGTGGCTCAGGATGGCATGGAGTTGTGGTCGTGGAGGATGGTGGCTCGGAATTTCGGGGAGTTGTTGTGGTGGAGGACGGTGGATTTTGGGGAGTTGTGGTCGTGGAGGATGGTGGTTCAGTTTGGCATGGAGTTGTTGTGGTGGAGGACGGTGGATTTTGGGGAGTTGTGGTCGTGGAGGATGGTGGATTTTGGGGAGTTGTGGTCGTGGAGGATGGTGGTTCAGTTTGGCATGGAGTTGTTGTGGTGGAGGACGGTGGATTTTGGGGAGTTGTGGTCGTAGAGGATGGTGGTTTAGTTTGGCATGGAGTTGTTGTGGTGGAGGACGGTGGATTTTGGGGAGTTGTGGTCGTGGAGGACGGTGGATTTTGGGGAGTTGTGGTCGTGGAGGATGGTGGTTTAGTTTGGCATGGAGTTGTTGTGGTGGAGGACGGTGGATTTTGGGGAGTTGTGGTCGTGGAGGACGGTGGATTTTGGGGAGTTGTGGTCGTGGAGGATGGTGGTTCAGTTTGGCATGGAGTTGTTGTGGTGGAGGACGGTGGATTTTGGGGAGTTGTGGTCGTGGAGGATGGTGGTTTAGTTTGGCATGGAGTTGTTGTGGTGGAGGACGGTGGATTTTGGGGAGTTGTGGTCGTGGAGGATGGTGGATTTTGGGGAGTTGTGGTCGTGGAGGATGGTGGTTTAGTTTGGCATGGAGTTGTTGTGGTGGAGGACGGTGGATTTTGGGGAGTTGTGGTCGTGGAGGACGGTGGATTTTGGGGAGTTGTGGTCGTGGAGGATGGTGGTTCAGTTTGGCATGGAGTTGTTGTGGTGGAGGACGGTGGATTTTGGGGAGTTGTGGTCGTGGAGGACGGTGGATTTTGGGGAGTTGTGGTCGTGGAGGATGGTGGTTCAGTTTGGCATGGAGTTGTTGTGGTGGAGGACGGTGGATTTTGGGGAGTTGTGGTCGTGGAGGATGGTGGTTTAGTTTGGCATGGAGTTGTTGTGGTGGAGGACGGTGGATTTTTGGGAGTTGTGGTCGTGGAGGACGGTGGATTTTGGGGAGTTGTGGTCGTGGAGGACGGTGGATTTTGGGGAGTTGTGGTCGTGGAGGATGGTGGTTCAGTTTGGCATGGAGTAGTTGTGGTGGAGGACGGTGGATTTTGGGGAGTTGTGGTCGTGGAGGATGGTGGTTCAGTTTGGCATGGAGTTGTTGTGGTGGAGGACGGTGGATTTTGGGGAGTTGTGGTCGTGGTGGATGGTGGCTCAGGATGGCATGGAGTTGTGGTCGTGGAGGACGGTGGATTTTGTGGAGTTGTTGTAGTGGAGGATGGTGGCTCGGAATTTGGGGGAGTTGTGGTCGTGGAGGATGGTGGTTTAGTTTGGCATGGAGTTGTTGTGGTGGAGGACGGTGGATTTTGGGGAGTTGTGGTCGTGGAGGATGGTGGTTCAGTTTGGCATGGAGTTGTTGTGGTGGAGGACGGTGGATTTTGGGGAGTTGTGGTCGTGGAGGATGGTGGTTTAGTTTGGCATGGAGTTGTTGTGGTGGAGGACGGTGGATTTTGGGGAGTTGTGGTCGTGGAGGATGGTGGATTTTGGGGAGTTGTGGTGGTGGAGGATGGTGGTTCAGTTTGGCATGGAGTTGTTGTGGTGGAGGACGGTGGATTTTGGGGAGTTGTGGTCGTGGAGGACGGTGGATTTTGGGGAGTTGTGGTCGTGGAGGATGGTGGTTTAGTTTGGCATGGAGTTGTTGTGGTGGAGGACGGTGGATTTTGGGGAGTTGTGGTCGTGGAGGATGGTGGTTCAGTTTGGCATGGAGTTGTTGTGGTGGAGGACGGTGGATTTTGGGGAGTTGTGGTCGTGGAGGACGGTGGATTTTGGGGAGTTGTGGTCGTGGAGGATGGTGGTTTAGTTTGGCATGGAGTTGTTGTGGTGGAGGACGGTGGATTTTGGGGAGTTGTGGTCGTGGAGGATGGTGGTTTAGTTTGGCATGGAGTTGTTGTGGTGGAGGACGGTGGATTTTTGGGAGTTGTGGTCGTGGAGGACGGTGGTTCAGTTTGGCATGGAGTTGTTGTGGTGGAGGACGGTGGATTTTGGGGAGTTGTGGTCGTGGTGGATGGTGGCTCAGGATGGCATGGAGTTGTGGTCGTGGAGGACGGTGGATTTTGGGGAGTTGTTGTAGTGGAGGATGGTGGCTCGGAATTTGGGGGAGTTGTGGTCGTGGAGGATGGTGGTTTAGTTTGGCATGGAGTTGTTGTGGTGGAGGACGGTGGATTTTTGGGAGTTGTGGTCGTGGAGGATGGTGGTTCAGTTTGGCATGGAGTTGTTGTGGTGGAGGACGGTGGATTTTGGGGAGTTGTGGTCGTGGAGGATGGTGGTTTAGTTTGGCATGGAGTTGTTGTGGTGGAGGACGGTGGATTTTGGGGAGTTGTGGTCGTGGAGGATGGTGGATTTTGGGGAGTTGTGGTCGTGGAGGATGGTGGATTTTGGGGAGTTGTGGTCGATGGAGTTGTTGTGGTGGAGGACGGTGGATTTTGGGGAGTTGTGGTCGATGGAGTTGTTGTGGTGGAGGACGGTGGATTTTGGAGAGTTGTGGTCGTGGAGGATGGTGGTTCAGTTTGGCATGGAGTTGTTGTGGTGGAGGACGGTGGATTTTGGGGAGTTGTGGTCGTGGAGGATGGTGGTTCAGTTTGGCATGGAGTTGTTGTGGTGGAGGACGGTGGATTTTGGGGAGTTGTGGTCGTGGAGGATGGTGGTTCAGTTTGGCATGGAGTTGTTGTGGTGGAGGACGGTGGATTTTGGGGAGTTGTTGTTGTCGAGGATGGTGGCTCCGAATGGCATGGAGTTGTTGTAGTGCTACGTGGTGGTTGAGCGTGACACGGAGTCGTTGTTGTCACAACTTCAGGATGACAAGGAGCCGGAGTTGTTGTTTTGCAATTTTCTCTGGCAGCTCCGCCTTCCGACGACACATCCCTTTCCATGCTGGAATATTCATTCAATCGAAGCGCAATACGTTTCAATTGGGCACACTTGACCAGACCGGCAATGTTACACATTCGGGTGTGATCATCATAGAATAGGCCACTGGGACAGCGTTGACGGTAACGTTGACCCTGGTAACAGATGTAATAGTGCGAACAGCTACGGGGATCAATGAGATAAGCGCCATCGGCTTGGTTGCGACAATCGTTGACATGGCTAAAGGGATTTGCTGTAGCTATTGCGATCATCGGCCCGATGACCAATAAGGGCAACAAAAGATTTACTGCAACGAAAAAATGAGGACAAAATTTGAGTTTCAAATATTCAATTTTTTTTTTGTTTTTTGATTTTGAAAACTTACTGCCTCCCATATTTGTAGACATCAACTTTTGATCAAAACAAATTATTGCTACTGTTTGCCATGCCATCGCGCCTATTTATACTGCTACTCCGGTGGCACCTTGACATGACAGGGGAAATAAATTAAACGTTATCTTACCGATGTTATAGTTCTGTAATTATTATTGATTTCGAATTTACAAACACTTTGTGGTGTTGTTGTCGTCTGTGGTTGTAACAAATGGTAACATTGTAAAATAACTCTGCTATCAATTGTGTCAACTTCCCGTGACCCCATATCGGGAGTATCGTGTACCGGAAAATTCGTTCGCAGATAGTGGAAATATTTTTTTTTTTATGCAGGAATATCGAAATGTAATGAAATGCTGTCTAGGGTGGATGGCAATAGATTTTAGGTGAACAACACCACTTGCTGAAATTATATATATTTTCTCAAAAGTTTTTATATTTTTATAACTCTGGCGAAATCATAGTCTCAGCTGCCGGAATAATCAGGAAAATGTGTTTATATAGTCAGCTTTCTGAATTGCATGAAAAATATGGAATTGAAGCTGGACTAAAACACATTAGGAATATGCTGCAATGATTGCTCCCCATCGCTGGTGGGAAATATAAAATTGCAAAAAAAAAATGTTTCTATAATTTTTATTTCTATTTTAGTCTTTTTTGACTTAGTTCACTTTCCATCGCCAGAGGGAAATTTAAAATTGCGGAAAAATACAAAATATGTTTTTCTTGGTTAAAAAAATATTTTTACATAATTTTTTTCTTACTTTAGATTTTTTTTTAATTATTTCACTTTCCATCTCTGCTGGAAAAATTTCGAAAAAAAGATATGTTTTATTTTGTTAAAAAATATTTTATCTAAGTTTTTTGACTTAGTCCACTTTCTAACTCTGGTGGGAATTTTAAAATTGTAAAAAAACACAAAAAATGTTTTTTTTGTCCAATATATTTTTCCGTTTAAAATATATTTTTTTCCTTAATTTTTTTGTTATTTTTATTTTTTTTTTTTTTGACTTAGTCCACTTACCATCTCTGGAGGGAAATCCAAAAATTGCAAAAAATAGGTTTCTTTGTCCCATATTTTTTTGTTTAAAAGAATATTTTTTTATTTCAGTTTTTGACTTAGTCCATTTTCCATATCTGGTGGAAAATAAAAAAAACTACGAAAAAACACAAAATATGTTTTTTTTTGTTTTTTTTTTTTTAAATATTTTTTTTCTTTATTTTTTTTATTTTAATTTTTTCACTTAGTCCACTTTCCATCTCTGGTGGGAAATCCAAAAAATTGCAAAAAATAGGTTTCTTTGTCTAATATTTTTTTTGTTAAAAAAATATATTTATTTTTTTAATTTTTTTTTATTTTAGTTTTTGACTTAGCCCATTTTCCATCTCTGGTGGAAAATCCAAAAACTGCAAAAAAAAAAAAAAAACACAAAACATGTTTTTTTGTTTGTTTTTGTTAAAAAAACATTTTTTTTTAGAAATTTGTTTTAATTATTATATCCCATCCCTGATGTGTGATTTTCCAGTTACAACAACAACGTTTTCTCACTGATTTTCTCTCTCAATTTGTCTTATATTGTGTCGTTATAATATTAAAAAGTAGCCTTAGTAATTTGTTATGATTAAAACATCCCATCCCTGGCTTGTGATTTTCCACATTTTGCTATCGATTTTCTCCTCAACATGTCTTATATTGTAGTCATAACATCAAAATGTAGCCTTAGCAATAATTTGTTCTAATTAAAACACCGACGGCGATATTCCGTCATCGATTTTGTTTAACCTCCGCTTCTTTGTCTTTAAAAAAAATATTTTTTTGTTTAAAAAAAATATTTTTTAAAATTTTCTTATTTTAGTTTTTGACTTAGTCCATTTTCCAACTCTGGTGGTACATCCAAAAACTGCAAAAAAAAAAAAAAAAAAACACAAAATATATTTTTTTTGTTGCCTAACATGTTTTCTTGTTTTTGTTAAAAAATATATATATATTTTATTCTTATTTTAATTTTTTCACTTAGTCCCCATCTCCGGTGGGAAATCCAAAAATTGCAAAAAATAGATTTCTTTGTCTAATATTTTTTTTTAATTTTTTATATTAGTTTTTGACGTAGTCCATTTTCCATCTCTGGTCAAAAATCCAAAAACTTCGAAAATATGTTTTTTTTGGTCTAACATGTTTTCTTCTTTTTGTTAAAAAAAATATTTTTTTCTTTAATTTTTTTCACTTAGTCCACTTTCTACCTTCGGTGGGAAATTTAAAATTGCAAAAATAGGTTTCTTTGTCTAATATTTTTTTTTTTTTTTGTGAAAAAAATACTTTTTTCTTATTTTTTTATTTTAGTTTCTGACTTAGTCCATTTTCCATCTCTGGTGAAAATCCAAAAACTGCAAAAAAACATAAAACATGTTTTTTTGTTGCCTAATATGTTTTATTGTTTTTGTTAAAAAAGAAATATTTTTTTTCTTTAATTTTTTTCTTATTTTAATTGTTTCACTTAGTCCCCATCTCTGGTGGGAAATTCAAAAATTGCAAAAAAAAGATTTCTTTGTCTAATATTTTTTAATTTTTTATATTAGTTTTTGACTTAGTCCATTTTCCATTAAAAAATCTAAAAACTGCGAAAATATGTTTTTTTTTTTTGGTCTAACATGTTTTCTTCTTTTTGTTAAAAAAAATATTTTTTTCTTTAATTTTTTTCTTATTTTATTTTTTTCACTTAGTCTACTTTCCACCTTCGGTGGAAAATTAAAAATTGCAAAAATAGGTTTCTTTGTCTAATATTTTTTTGTTTTGTAAATAAATATTTTTTTCTTATTTTTTTTATTTTAGTTTTTGACTTAGTCCATTTTCCATCTCTGGTGGATAATCCAAAAACTGCAAAAATAAACAAAAAAATAATAAAAAAAGGGTTTTTTCTTGTCTAACGTGTTTTTTTTTGTTTAAAAATATATTTATTTTTTTTTTCTTATTTTAGTTTTTTTTTTTTGACTTAGTTCCCATTCCATCTCTGGTGGGAAATCCAAAAATTGCGAAAAAAAAAACAAAAAAAAAAATTTTTTTGTTCAATTTTTTTTTTATTTGAAATTTTTGACTTAGTCCACTTTGTCTTTCATTGGGCAAAACAACAACTATATGTCACTTAATTTCCTAATGCGGAAAAAATTGCTACACGCATTCCTAATATTAAAAAAATAATAACTTAGCAAATTGTAATCAATATTTCCCATCTCTGGCATGAGAGATAACAAATTGCAGAATATAGAGCCTAGCTACTATATTCGTATATTCGTCATAAAATACTGTTCTTTTAAGTACTTTTTTTTTCAAATTTTTATTTTTGATTTAGTTCACTTTGTCTTTCATCGGGCAAAACAACAAATATCTGCTATTGTTTTTACATAACATTTCACTTAACTTCCTAATATTAAAAAATATTATTCGCAATTACTATTTCCCATCTCTGGCGTGAGAGCTAATAAAGTGCGAAAATCGAGGCTCTACATTTTTTTCTTATTTTAATTTTGGGACTTAGTACACTTTTTCTACCATCGGGCAAAATCAACATTTAACTTCCCCGAGTGGGAAATTATAGACACTTACATTTCTAATATTAATTATCAATTATCACTTAGCAATTACTATTTCCCATCTCTGGCTAATAAAGTGCAAAAAAAGCGACTATAGTTTTGTTTAATTTTTTTTTTTTTAATTTTCTTCTTTTAATTTTTTGACTTAGTCCACTTTGACGTTAACCCAGAAAAAACACTACCTTGTCATTTTGCCATTGGGCTTCTCATCAAATTGCCTAGCATCGAGAAAACCCCGTCAACCTAAAAATATTTCTCCAGTTCTTTGTGATATTAGAAAATCACAATTACTACTTTCCATCCCTGGTAGGAATGCTGCAAACAGTGAGAAGGTACAGTGTTACCAAAAAAAAAAAAGTTCTTTTCAACAATTTTTTCATTGTTGATTTAGTCCATTTTGATAATCACACGGGAAATTCGCAACAAAAAAAAAAAAAAAAAATGCCATTGATTTTCTCTACAAAAAAATTGATTTTCTCAAATAGTTTTTTATTTTTGATTTAGTCTACTTTGATCTTCACACGGTAAATCGGCAACAACAACAATAACATTTTGTCATCGATTTTCTCCTCCATTTGTCTCATATTGTTGTCATAATATTTAGAAGTAACCTTAGAAATTTGTTTTAATTATTACATCCCAACCCTGATGTGTAGTTTCCCAGTTACAACAACAACAACGTTTTGTCATTGATTTTCTCCCTCAACTTTTCTTATATTGTGTCGTCACAGTATTAAAAAGTATCCTTTGGAAGTTGTTCCAATTAAAACTTTCCATCTCTGGTGTGTGATTTTCCGCTTACAACTACATTTTGCTATCGATTTTCTCCTCAATATGTCTTATATTGTCGTCATTACATCAAAATGTAGCCTTAGCGAAAATTTGTTCTAATTAAAACACCAACGGCAAAAGTCCGTTACCAATTTTGTTTATCCTCCGCCTCCCCAAGAAGTTGTTTTTCTTTAATAATTTTTCATTTTTGATTTAGTTCACTTTGCCTCTCAGTCGCCAAAAAACAACAATCACCTCTCATTTTTTTCATTGAGAAGACAATATCCAAATTGTCTTAAATAATAAAAAAACTGTCTTAACAAAATTAAAAAATCCCTTTGAAATTTGTTGCAATTATCATGTTCCATCCCTGGCATGGGAGCTTTCATTGCATAAAAATAATAGAATGTGACAGCTATAGCCTGCCTGTCATTTTCTTCAACTTCCGCTTCCTAAAAAATAAGTTTTTCTTAAATTCTTTTTTCATTAGTGATTTAGTCCACTTTGCCTCTCATAAGGTCACACAACAACTACCTGTCATTTTGCCATTGATTTTCTCATAGAATAGTCTTGCATTGTGAGTAAAAACCCCGTTGTGCTGAGATGTGCAATGCATAGCCAAACACTTTTGAATTGTCTCTTTGTGATATGTTCTCTATCTATCTCTCTCTTTTGCACAAACGAAACTCTTCGGGAAAAAATATTACGGTCTTGCATTGGCAATGCTTTCCTTACGTATGGTGGTTGTGGGTAAGAGAGTCACCCAGAGTGTTCGAGTGTGCGAAAGAGA